ATTAAAGACATTTTTTAAATTAATAAATTATGACGAAAAATATATACACATAAGTTTACAGGCGTATACTGACGAAGTAATGCAGATATAGTACCTGGTGTCAATCTGTAGTTTTAAATTGAAAACCAGTAGAAGCAACATTATATTGCTATATCATACTCCGTTGTTGTCTAATGGCAATAAAAACCACTGTTAGCGAGCAGTAAGTATGAAAATGCGGCACTTTTATCTCTATTATACTCAAGTTTATATACGTATTATCGTATTCGTATGGGCTACTAAAATATTATTACAACCACAAATAACTACATAATTTACTTGTCTTAAATCACAAGTTTAGAATTTAGAACAAATTTTGTCGCAGTTTGGTATATTCACTATCACTCAATTTCTAATATCAAAATATCGAAATCGATGTCAATTATATCGATTGTTAAGGGAGGCAATTCGAGTATGGTAAAATAGGGGCACTTGAATTGCCTCCGAAATATCCGGAGGCAATTCGAGTGACAAAATGTAACCTAACTAGTTTTGGGAGGCAATTCGTGTGCACCGGGCCTAACATAACTTGGAACCTCGGGTTCTTTAGCCCGTACCTCTAAAAAGATGACCTCTGCAGGTTCCGCTCAGTATTGGCAAATTAATTTAAAATGTCTTCTTTGTTTAGAATGTTTGACAAATCTCTTTCAATTACTATGATTGCTAACTTGGAAAATAAATTTGATAGTATAGTTGACCTTATGTAGGTGTTTATTCGACAAATCGCTAAGAATGTTCTTTGCCAAGATTCGGAACTTGTTGGAACTGCAAGCGCTAAATGTAGCATTTTGTATAAATTTGGGAAACAGATTTTTCAACGATACTCTTTACCTGCGTTAAATGTTATTGATTGTTACTGTTTTCCAAATGATTGTCATAACAATTTTTTGCAACCAAAATTTCTGATTTTAAGTCAGTTTCATTAATATTTCGTTACTCGTCAGTGGCGGTTCTGGTAGTATTTTTTCGGTGAGGCAACATAATGTATCACCCCCCTCCCTCTATACAAAATTAGAATTCACAATAAATGTAATTTAAAAACAAAAATAATTATAATTGTATGAATGCTAATAATATACTTGTTTCGTATAGTAAGTGATAGATAGGTAATAAACAGAGCATTTTAAAATTTGGTGGTCCTGAAAAGGACCTTTTGAGTAGGTATGCCTAGTCCTGAAAATTACTTTTTAAGTTGGTATGCCTAGTCCTGAATAGGACTTTTTAAGTAGGTATGCCTAGTCCTGAAAAGGACTTTTCAAGTAGGTATGTCTAGTCCTGAAAAGGACTTTTAAGTATGTCTAGTTCTAAAACTATTAATTAACTAAATTAAACTACCACGTCTGTCACTGGATACGTCATAACTCCAACAGTAATTAATTTAATAATGTTTATTACAATAAACTGCAGCACTCGCACATATATTTTAACGCAGACGTTAAGACGAAACCACCGAAAACGGAAAAAGTGTAAGACACAAGCGAATATTCGTACAAGACGTCAAGACAGAAATGACTAATGAATAAATAATGATAAATATAAAATTATTATCAATAGATATTACAACGGACAACGGTTTAATTAGGACTGTCCCGAATCTCGATTGTAACAATAACATCTTTACTGATAATGTGTTTTTACGTTGAAATGCCGGCTGACTATATATTCCTGTATACCGAGTCTATTTTTATTTCATAGACGATGTAAGTCGAGCCTCACAATGATCATTACGCATGCGCAACTCTAGTTATTTTATAGTCGCGTGCATTCGCGTACATACGCTTGTGTGTGTAATTCATGTACACAATAGTACATACTCTGAGGCGGAGTTGAACGGTGCCTTCTGACGTCATCGGAACATTACCGCCGGTTGAAACACCAGCGTTTGTTTACGTAATACTTATATTTTCATTCATTTCTTATCGGTTTATCACTATTTTTGGTAATAAACACTAATGATATGATTTACCATTATTTTACAATATAATAAATGATAATTCATATTGTTAAACTTGGCAAAGAAGATTTTTTCTCAAATAAAATCATAAAAACGTTAAAAATTAATATCAAATTTTTATATGCTATCGGTGGGCCAAAATATATACTTTAATAGTATTTTTTACTTAAAATTGTAGGTTAGGCGGCGCCTCACTTGCCTCACCCCCAAAACCGCCACTGTTACTCGTTAATCATTATCACAAGTTATTAATAATTTCTAAATAATATTTATGTAGTAAAACCTTACATACAATTATCGTATCACAATAATACGTATAACCAAAAAAAATAAATATTTTACCATAAAACGATATTTTAAATTAAAATTAAGAGGACGCTATACCCAAAGTGAAACGGATAAAACGACCGATAGGAAGCTTTATTAGGTGTTTTTACACAGCGCAAGCACACGACGTACGCACACAGAGTCATAGTTGTTATCGCGCGATTAACAAAAGGGTCTAAAAATAATCAACATGCGGGCGAGTATTTTATTGTTTTATGAACTGTCTTAGAATGCGGATAATGAAAAAATAATATATTGGTGATTATAGTAATATTACCACAATAGTCAATATTCGTATGATTTTCGCGCCCGCTTATGAACTAATTGATTAAGATTTCTATTTCTTATTATGTGTACACAAATAATTATACTAAAATAATGTCGGATAGGCTATATTACAATAATATTTACATTAAAATAAAAATATTATAAATTATCTACTGATTACTTAGTACTTACTTATACTATTATAAAATATATTATATTATATTTTTTTTTGTCGTCTATACATTATAATACCAATATACATAATACCAAATTTATAGCAATAAGCTAAACTATTTAAATGTTTAAATAGTAGTTTTCTAATTGGTGAATATATTACGTATATTTTACGTTATAATTGTGTAGGTGTATATTATATATACTTGCTATTGTTAAAGGTGTATTGAAGTAACCAAATTACATTACAGGTAAAATCTATAACCAAATAGAATATAACGTTGCTATACACATTTTAAGTATTAAAAATTAAAACAGTATGAAATGTTTAATATAATAGTAATAGGTACTACGATTCCAAAGAAGCTACTTGATTTTGCACACTCGTGGTGAGTTCCAAGCTATATCAAAAAAAGGTTTTTTTTTTGATTCAAGCGCATATTTTAATTTTTATAACTTACCTTCTTTTACGTAAATGTACTAGGCTGGATGTCAACACGCTTTTTGATTTATGTTTTAATTTGTTTCGCTTATTAGCCATGATTAAAAAAAAAAAATAATGAAAAAATATATACTAAAAAGCTCAACAATTTAACACTTGACCAAAAATTATTGTAAAACAGTCTTCACATAATCACAAATTACAAATGACAAATCATACAAACAGTATTCACCAACACGGTGAACTAAACAAGAACAATTGATGAATGATTCCGATTCTTCGACTTTATAAGCTATTATAGATTCATAATATTATTCTATTTTTTGATTTATCAGTATTTCGTTTTATATATTTTGTACTAGCTCACACAAAGATAACAATAAATGGTTATTAATCTATAAGTTATAGAAATATAATAGGTACTAAAGCTTACTATTTAGAGTAGGGGTCTCTAACTCGCGCCCACTTAGTATTTTTTTGCAGCCCGCGATCACATTTTAAGTATAGCATGCATTTTTAAAAAAACTGATGTGGCCCCCTGCATAAAAATGTGAAGTTCCCTGATTTTGGGTATGTTAAGTCTAAGGGTACCTCTTCGCTGTCGTTGCCGTAAACGTAATTATTTGCTTATTAAAATAGTTTTTATGTATGTAATAATATTTTAATACGGGTGTTCTATATTACCTGTACACCTAAGTACTTTTTATTACAATTTATACATTGTACACAGTATATTATTGTGACAACTCTATTTTTTTTTTATAATAGCATTGATTTTAGAATAATATTCTGGTAGTAATAACTAATATTATATTATTAGTATCTTTAAATATATAAAATGGAAAAATAATTTATGTCGTACAGTCCATTGACTATTTTTATTGCATTCGTTTTGGATTTGATTTTTCGTGGAAGCGATAACGATTACGAAAGATAATTTATTGAGCACTTGAACGGGTGAATTCAAAACAGCGATAGTAATGGGAGAAGTTCTAATTTCCGACAACGCCGCCGCGACTACATTCTGCCACCGTTTTAGGTGGCAGCACATGACTGATATATAAAATAAAATCGAACGACAAAAACATGAACACGGAAAACTAACAAAAAGGCCTCTAAAAGTGATTTGAAAATTATTTCACCTATTACTTTATTTGAAGACAATAACATTTCAGAGTGAACCTCATAAGGGTTTTTCATTATTCCGAATGAATAGTTCTGTATGATAAATAAAATAAAGCAATATTTTACTTTTTTTAAATCATTGTAACTTTTTTTCTAATAAATATTTTTAAAAACGCGTATGAGGTTCACTCAGAAATATTATTCTTTACTAATTGTATAATAGGTGTTTTCACCCTAAAGTTACATTAAAAGGCATTTTCGTTGGTTTTCCGTAAACATGTTTTTACTAGTCATAATAACAGGTGTAGCGTCCTTTTAAAAATATAGCTACCGTTAGCAAGACTAAGAATTATGAAAGGAGGGCTATGATTCATATTGGGTGGCTTACCACCCCCAAGTCCCTCCCTAGTTACGCCTATGCCCACTACTAATAATACGTACTACTGAATATATCTGAAAACTATTAGATTCTGAGTAAAATGAGGAATGTATAGGTTTTTTAAACATATTTAGTTTTCAAAAATCGTAGTTTTTGTATGATTATAATAATTGATAGAATTGAATATATTCAAACAACATTTTTTGTACAAATTCTTAATTTTGTAAAATACACGCAGTTTTACGTATATTAGGTACCTAATTATTTGTACTATTTGCTTTACGTTCCATTAGACATGGGGTTGGATACGAAGACTTGCGCAAGATAAATCCGAAATTGGTGTACTGTTCGATAACTGGTTATGGATCCAAGGGCTTATGGAACCAGAAACCTGGTTACGATTGCATAGCCGCCTCGGTCGGTGGTTTAATGAACGCCACCGGCGACGCGGTTCCGGCAAAAGCCGCCGTGCCCGTTACCGACCTGATGACTGGCATGTACGCACACGGTGCCATTTTAGCTGCCCTATACCGAGGCGTCGGAGACAAAATCGACTGCGACCTGTTGTCCACACAGCTTGCAATGATGATCAATTTGGGATCGAATTATCTAAACGCAGGTAAGATCACTCATTTGACCACTGAGTGACTTCATAGGAAAATTAAAATGGCCCCTTCCATTTTTCGAGTATCTTTATATATCATATCTTTTTGTTATATTTCTAATCGATTTTTAATTACATATTTTGCTTGAAGTAAATGGTCGTAAGTAAATCATAGTAAATGGTTTTATTTTTAAATTAATATATAAATAAATAAAAAAAAATGCTTAATTTCAATTTAAGATACTATTTTTTAAATTTTTTATTCCAAATTGACAACGATGTAAATCACTGTTAATTTAGTTCAGATTTATGCAATTAACTATAGGTTATCGAGCTCGATTATTTGATTCTAAGCTCTAGGTATATATATATATCACATTGACAGACAGTGAGGATTATAAATGATTATATAAAGCATAACTAAAAAAATGTATGTTTTAGTACTGCTATAGCAGTAGTTTTTTTAATACTGCTATAGCAGTAATGTCGCATTATATCAAATATTTTATGTACATATGACTAAATGTTATAGTACTGTTATAGTAGTAATATTTTTTTTATTCCAAACGTATTTTTTATGCAAATAATGAAGAATAAATAAATGATTAATAATTATTAATAATTATAATTTATTAACTAACTGACCTGGCAAACATTGCTTCATCATATATTTCTAGTATATATTTTCTATTATAAAAAATAATTAACTCATTGTAAGTATGTTGGGATAGTGTCTATGATTGAAAGAGGAATGGAGCTCTATGGATGATGACGGCCTATAAAAATTACAAAACGCCAGCCATTTATGTTTTTACTTTATATGCATCTTTAAACGTTGAATAATGTTATCTATTCACTTTGCCTATATCTTAAAATGTAAATAGTCCGGTAACATTAACTAATTACAGTTGCAGATAGAATCACTCAGTCTACCTTAGATTGACTGTATATACTCGGCTCAAAATGTTTGAATGAACCTGGGCACGCATCACATTGATTGCGAGGCATCCATTTTTTCATTTTTTCAAAGATACCCTAGGCAGCTTCATTGGAGCTGATGTACCGGCCAAATTGGTAAAGCGTTATTTCGTTGTTGTTATTCAATTGAGGACCATTCACATTAGTATTTTCAATTCTAAATACAGCGATATCGCTATTTTTATTTACATACTTGCAAATGTAGTTGATGCTCTTCACCGAATTACAGAACTGAATATTAATATGAGTATTGAATATTTTGGTCAACAGAGGCGAATATAGTACCACCCAACGACTGTCAATGTCGATGTCTACGTTGTTATTATTTTTTGTAAACGATTGTCTACCATTATCGGTATTTTTTCGACAATATATTGGATATATTTCTGATCGTATCGTTTGTGAAATCTTTAAATATTTGGAAATTAATATCTATTTATAACATAAATAATATAGAACAATTATATCCGCCTTATTTTTCAGTTCCCAATGTCGCTTTATGCTGTTTGGGTGGCAGTATAACTTGGTCTTTCATATGACACCATTGGAAAAACCAAGGCTGGGCAAGTTAATGATATTTTTTAACTCAGTTAAGTTAAGTTAATTGAGTTCATGTTTAATTAAGTTAACAATTAAGTTAATTCACATGAGAATTACATCAATTAAGTTAAGAATTAAATTAAAAAATATCGTTAACTTAACTTCAATTAATAAGTTAAGTTAATTACAAAAATAAAAAAAATTTAAATTAAGCCCTGATATGTATATTAACAATTTACAACAGATCTCATGTAACACTAACGATAATAAAAATGCAGAAAAATCTTATTAGACACTAATTAGAATAGAAAAATATACATTTCTCTACTGGGATTGTTTTTAAGCACTCAAATTTAAAATTTATGGTAATTTATGTACTGTTTGTTTTTATTCATTTTTCATACAAATCACATATAATAAATATAATTTAACTAAAGTATACTTTTCAATGTTCAATAATAGTATGAAAACTAAAAATAATTACTGTAGCTGAAAGTATAACTATAAAATTATATAGGCAATAAATGTATACAGTTGATACAAATATATATATTAAATATATAATATTATTATTTAATTTTATTAAAATCTAAACAAATATAAAACAATACAATAGAGAGGTTAATTAAAATACCTATTGAATCTCAATAAAAGAGCCATTTCATATGTTGATCAGCTATTAAATTTCTTTTCTTATTCAATAATATTTAATTATATCTTAGATTATGGAATAATTCTATTAATAATAGATTACAATTATTATTAAGAGTTATTTATTTAATGATAATATATATAAATTTTTGTAATATAGATTTACGGCCTCTTTTCATGCCAATAGTAATGTAATTCATGGGTGGCATGGCTATTTTTACTCAATAGTCTGAAAACGGTTGAGAACTTTTCCCGAGACCGGTGGGACCCCAATTAATTATTAATACCTAAATAAATATTATGGTCTTATCAAAAAATTCTTCGACATTTTTATTTTTATATTTTTCTAAATTCCATGAAATTGCTAATGAATGCGGTTTGTATTTTACAAAAATATTTTTCTGGTCTTGAAAATTAAAATTAACTTAATTTGGATAAATGAAAAAAAAAATACGTTGATTTCAAGTTAATTTGTTAGGAAATGAGTAAAGTTAATAAGTTTAATATCAGTTATGAAATATGTTAAGTTAATGAGTTAAATTAACTTAACTTTAAATTTATTAACTCGTTAATGCCCAGGCTTGGAAAAAACCAATGCTAGAGCACTAATTTTTTATAACCGTCCATCAATATGATATATACATATTACAATTACGCATGTTAATTATTTTAATGCCATAAAAATGATATAGGTAAATTTTTTTCTAGTAATATATACAGTAGGTAAATATTTAATCTAAGAAGGGAACTAACTATAGTTAAGCATGCTGTATTTTAATTTTTGATGATACTGTAATATGCAAAACTGTTTTGAATAGTCTTCACATAAGATTACCTAATTATAAAATTAACGCGAAAAAGAAAAAAATTATGTAATAAATTTATTTAAAAAAAAAAATATGTATTGGCATCGATATTTTATACGAAACAATATTTAAAATTTTCAATCGTGAAAAAAATGATTAAAATTTTCAAGCGTAATCAAAAGCCACTTTTAAGGTATTGTAGTTAATCAAATATTATTTTTGAATTATAGGACAAAAGTTTGTTTGCATTACATTACTATACCAATCTTTCTGTTTCCACTCTCTGTACGTGATTTATAGATAAAATATGAATAAAAATAATATCTGTTGTAATACTTAGTAAAATTAAATTTATTAAAACTGATAACATTAATTGAACGCATATAACCGATGGGGATCACGACTTGTGTAATTGTATCTTATTATATTCATTATTTTACAGCATGACAGTAAATGTCGAATGAAAAAATGTATAAACATGTAATTGTTGATAAAAATAATATAGTAAATTACATATAATTTGTAATCTGTGAAATAGTTTAAAATTAAAAGAATTATTATTTTTTATATACATTTTAGTTAATACGCATGTATAAGCTTTCTTACTCGTATAATTTTAATGAACATTTCTTTCTTATTTGCTGCAAAATCCGATCATTCCATTATTATAGATATGGTTTAAAATAATAGCATCGGCTGATTATTTTGAAAATCAACTTAATAACTTAATTACTTAACTAAATAACTTAAATTTAAAATTCATTTTTGTTATTAAAATTTATTTTATTCCCATATAAGTAAGGTTGCCAACTCTTATTTACAGATATGCGGGAAACCAGATATTTATATGCGGGATTTGACAAAAAAAAAAACGGGACGTGCTTACAAATTTACAGAAATAAGAGAAAACGATTTTAATAATTTTTATTAGTTTTATTTAAAATTTGAAATATTCATTAAAATTAGTTAGGTACATTTAAAATTACAAATTAGTAAATTTAATAATTTAAAAAAATTGCTATTGGACCATTTTTCTTGAAAAACGCGTTTTTCATCTGAGATTTTACGTTTTTTACTCACCGACATATTGTACAAATATTACGAAGAAAAATTATGAAATTGAAATGTTTACACATAAAGGAGAATATTGTGCTCGTTCCACAATCGATTACGAACCAACAGACAATAATAATTATATATTGGTAGGTAATTCAATTTATATTATTACATATTTCTGATAGGGATAGCTTAACTGTTATAATTTTATTGAACTAGAAAATGTAAATGCTAAATTTAAAATGTGATCACGGCCGCTTGCGGCCTACGGGCCGGGGGTTGAAGACCCCTGCCTTAATCAATGTAAATTAATTGTAAATTAATTTGACATTAATAAGATAACGGATGGAATGTCAAATAAAGTTTTAAATATTGGGCTGAAAATATTTTCATTTATTTCAAAATATACAGTGTAATATTATACTGCTAACAACCACGAAAGAAAACCCGTAATCGACAGGACAGACAGTGGTTATGTAGAGGAATTTCGTCAAAAATAATCTATTAAATATTTATTACACGACTCATATATATTATCCATATCAAATGAAGGTCAATTATATATAGTATATTAATCAAATAAAATTATATTTTAAAACGGTCTTGTTAATTATTATAAGATTTAACGAAATGTTATTATAAATGTATAGTAGCGCTTAGAGATATTTTGCACGAATAATCGACGTTGTCAAAAACAAAACTTTCATGGTACGTTATAATAATTTTTTAGTATTTACTGTTTAAATTCAATATCAGATTATTGAGTCTTTTGATATTAGTTATAAGAATTAATAAATAATAAAATTAATTGCTTTGTATATTGAATTGGTGAAGACAGCCGTTACATAAACTTTCATCAAAAATATTTTTCTCCGTGTAAAGATTTAATGAACATTTTTAATTATAGAAAGGAAAATGTGTTTTCATTAGCATCTCAAAAATTATTAACACGTATAGTATTATCTACCATTTAAAGTTTTCAACGAGTTGAATGCGGTGATACCCGATTGAGCACGGTCGTTATCGGCCGACCTTTTTGACGATCCGATTGAGCACGGTAAAGAAAATAACATTGTGTACAACGTTGTCAAAATGAAAACTAATTATTAGGCTGGCAAAACACTAGCGTTATTTTACCGCGCGACATTTTTTCCGCGCCGTAATTTTAATGCGTGTTTTGTCAAAGTACATTAAAATGAATAGAGCACAACACGAGTGCCGTGCATTAAATTTATGACGCGATATTTCGAAAACTGTCGCGTGCACCTTGACTTTACTGTACGTTAAAAATACTGCTATAAAGGCTTACCGTGAGTACTCTGAATTTAAAAATGCTGACAACCTACTTAAATACTTATTGAAAGTTGAAAATAAGTATTTAGGGAAAAAAATGTATATTTTTACCTTTTTCATGACAATTGTATGAGTGCTATTTTCTAGCAAAAAAAAAATGTAATTATAACACGTGATTAAAAATCCAATAAAAGATGTTTAATTATAAATAATTATACTTAAATGTATTTTATTTTGTAATAATAATATGGACGCATCGAGCTCTAATATACCAACAACATAAAAAATGCGAAAAAAAAAGTGTCTTGTGGTTTTTTTATTGGAGAGTTATTTCTTTTAGGAAACCTGAGCCGTAAATATTTTAATTTATGAAATAATCGTTACAAATCTAAAATTGAATTACATAATAATTATAAAAAAATCTTGAATGCACTGTTGCGTGCGGCCGTTCAATCGTAAAGATGGTGATGATTTAGGAATATTCCAAATAAAAATACTCAAACTAAGTTAAACTGTTTATTGAAATATTTCTTAGTACAAATTATTTAATTAAATAGACAAATAAATTGGCGTGGAGGTGCTTGCTAAAACACGTCTTAAACACATTTGAATATTGGTTTATTCCCAACCCCCTTATATATTTAGGTCTTGTGGGAATTGGCCTCGGTAATATTACTATTCGCACACCTTTCACATTTTGTTATGCTCTTTTATTAATTGCATTTATTATAATACTTTAAAATGTTGCCTGACAGCTCATATTCGTGATACCCTCGGGTCTTAATTATTCCTTTTTATATTGTTCACCGATTTCCACTATTTATGATTGATATGATTTGAATCGTATTGGTAGTTGTAAGGACCTACATTTATGTATATCCGTAACATCGTGTTACCTTCGGGTCTTAATCTAATAGTTCCTTTCTATTGTTGCGAATATTATATTATTTATAATCATTTCCCGATTTTTATTATTTACGATTTATGTGATCCCACCTATGTAGTAAAAGTCGTAAGGACCTACATCTATGTATGTCTGTAACAGCACAGTAATACGGTGCACCGAAAAATATTCTACGGTACAAAGCGGCAACGTCGCACCCATTTTCGTGCTCAATCGTGTGGTTTTTTGGTTCTTTTTTGGTTCTTATTGTTTGATTGCAACCGTGCTCAATCGGGTTCCAGTCGTTGAATGTCATCAGAGTTCATTATATAATATACCTAATGTATTATATACGTAATAAGTAGGGCTCGGGACTTCTAGGAACTTGCATGTTTTTAAATAATTATTAAAAACATAGCTAAATAATATATAAATTTGTTTCATAGCGATACAAGTTTATATTTAAAATTTATAGTTGCATATTTTGCATATTTGTCCATTTTTCATTTTATAAATGCAAATTTGACAATTATTCATATGAAAGAGTAAGTTTTTAAATTTTATAAAAAAAAATTATGATTTATTTCTTCATATATCACGTGACTTAGAACTTAAAGTGTCTTATTGGTGCACTAATTGAATGCATTAAAATAATTAAAACTACAAAAAACGTATACATTCTGCAAAAATTGAAGAATCTGCACAAGCTAACTACAAAAAATATCGAACATTTTAAATACAAAAAAGAATAATTTAAATCAAGAAATCAGAAAATAATTACATTTCAGTAAAAATATTTCAGTGATTAGTGATTTTTTGAAAATATATATATTACCCTGTCGTTTCAGTTTAAATAAATAAATTATATTTTTACTTATTTAAAAAAAACTAATATTTTTTATTTTAAAATAAATGTACAAAATCATATTAATTATTTTCCAAAATAAAAATGTATGGTATTTATTTGAATAATTTTGAAAAAAGCGTACAAATATACTTGTTGTTTAATAACTGTGATTGTCACAGTATCATAAGCTTTCGTTTGAATTTGAAATCACTATACAGATTTTTATTAATATTATTACGTAAATATTTTATTAAAAATGTATTGTATTATATTACATATATTAATATTAATAAAACTATAATAGTTACCATTATTAATTGTTTACGCATAGGGTATCATTTTAACAATAATATTTTATTGAGAAATTAGTTGTCACTTGGAATTTGAAAATTTTTTTTTTAAAAACTGAATTTCATTCGTATAATATATGTTTTATGGTTATAAATAACAACCACGGTATATTTATATACCATGCCTAGAATAAATGTACCACTAGTAATTTGTTAAAGAAAGATAATTCGAGGAGTTTATTTTTAATTTTTTTATAAATAATATAAAAGTTTATTAGGACAAACTTATTCCAAAAATAAAAATTACCTAGGTGTTATCTTTAACTGCAAGATTTTCAGAAAAATGCAAGGGTTTCGGAACGTATAGGTTCGAAATTTCTGCGACACTAGGTAAAATGTATACTATATTAAAGTAGAAGTTCTAGAACGGGCTTTCGAAATCACTACTACCTACTGCACAAAACAAAATGATTCCCATGTTCTGTGACAATATTTTCAAGTACACACATTGTACCAGCAGATGTGCCACATTTAAGAATTATACCTATTATAATATATTAGAACAGTGGTTCTCAACATTTTTTGTTCATAGTTACTATGAAATACTACTAAATGCTAAAAAATCCACGGAGTTCCATATCTTCAGGAATATCAATTTTAAACTCATATAAAATTTTATATTAATGACTTCCTTTTTAATTTGATTGTGTTTACCATAATTCGTACGGCTTATAAATATAACATATTTAATTATATTTATAAAAAAAAAAAAAAAAACATTTGAATAAAATGTTCAGTAATACAGTATATAAGTTTTAATGCGAACAATAATAACTTTTTTTCCTGTACCAATATTTCAATATTTAGATTTATGGACGAATATTGAATGGAATTTTTAAATGTACCAATCTATAATAATAAGGAAATTCCTTCAACTTTTTATATATTCATAACATTTATGTTAACGTAACAATTTAATTTTTAATATTATTCGAATTTTATTTGATATTCAGATGTTGTCACGGAGTCTCTAGATTACCCTTTAGAAACACTATTTGAGAACCGCTGTATTATATTATAATTAATGTTTCAAAGGTATGCTGGCCAAACGATGGGGAACCGAACATGAGAGCTTGGTCCCGTACAAAGCATTTCAGACGGCGAACGGTTTCCTAACTCTGGGCACGGGCAATGACGCACAATTCCGGTCGTTTTGCGAACGTATATCGATGCCGGCCTTACCTCAGGATGAGCGGTTCACGGACAACGCGTGTCGTGTTAAATACAGAAAACAATTGTACGCAATTATCGAACCTATTTTGAGGACCAAGACTAACGAGGAGTGGATGGAAATTTTCGAAGGAGTGCCTTTTCCTTACGGTCCCGTCAACGACATGGCGCAGGTATGCCAACGTGAGCAAGCATACAAACGGTTACTAATGCGCGTTCTGCAACAGGGTTCTTATACGACGTATACTCATAAATAAGTTTAAAGATATGTAATCTGACTTATCCTCATTTTCACATTTCTCATTTTCACCGCTTTAATTATAATATCACGTGTTAAGATGTTTTACACTTTTCTTTCGGGAATGTTATTAACTTAAACCGGAGGTGGGGGTGACATAACTTTAGTGTAACGTTGAATATATACGAAAAATATAAATTATTCTTAAATTTACTGCTATTTTAATTCACTTTTGTTCGCATCTTTACGTTATTGCCGTCTCTTTTACTCTCCACTCAAAAAGTATACGCTCAAACCATGACGCGGACCCGTGCAGCAGCCGTTGCCGGAACGGCCGTCGCCGACCGTGCCCTTATCTCTCTCATCAACCACCACTCCAGGGCACGCAACTTTGCAGCGAAACTACGTCCTCCCATCCATCACCGTCAGGGGACGCGAGCGGTCGCTACGACGTCCGACAGGTACCACCATCTGAACCGTGCTGTTTTTCCGAGATCGCGTACGGAGACACACCTGGTCGCCCCATCTCGAATACAAGTGTTCTTGTTTTTTTTTCCTATTATATTTTTTTTTTGTGACCATCACCATTTTGACGTTATAGTCTTGTAACGATTCAATGTGTTAAGTTACAGTGGAATATATTACTTAATTAAACATTTACTATTGTCACTTTTATTATTATATTTTTACAATAACGGTGACCACCGCACCCGCAACTCGTGTATACACCACCATCACCTGTGTGCCGCGTCAACCACGACCGACGAATTACGAGTACAAAATATATTTATAATATATGTTACAATAGAACTCTGATGAACATACATGCACGGTAGGAAAAGGGAATTGCTTTTGATACGCTCATGTTGTGTACATCTACTGCCAGGGACGTTATATTAAACTACGATCGAATTTATAAGAGTTAATTAATACTACTCGAACAGTACCGTATTATTATCGATTTGGTAATTGGTCCGTGAGGATTGAAATCCAACAAAATAATCGTATATGTGATTGTAAAACCGTAATACAAACAACTTCAGTTTATACGCACGATTCATTTATGAAAATTCGTTTAGCTCGCATATGCATATAATACTACTTTAGTAATCTCACGACTACAATGACGATTTGATTTTCGTTTTTCAGGCTTTCGATAACGAACACGTCAAAAGCATTGGGATTGTACAAAACGTCGATTGCTCGTACAACGCGAAACTAAAAATGGTTGGACCCGCAGTGACATTCAAGAACAGCAGTAATAAAATCCGAAGAGAGCCTCCATTGTTAGGTCAGCATACGGACGAAGTACTGATTTCTTTGGGATATAGCGTGAAAGAAATAAAATCATTACGTTCGAAAAACGTAGTATGATTACATTATGTTACTGTTAACTACATAGACTTACATTTAATACATCATTTCTCCTATAGTAAAAAAAATACAGTATTATCATTTGTTGATTTCACCGTCTTATCGCGACCACCTGTGGCGTTTCCAGAATTTTTTTTTGGCGGAAGGGGTTATAAAAAATGTAACATTACATTTTTTTTGAATTTTGTGTGTTTTTATTATAATCAATAGATAATATACATACATTAAACATTTTGGGGGGGTTATAACCCCCTAACTCCCCCTGGATACGCCACTGGCGACCACATACGCGTCATCGTTCACGTCTTATAGAATCGAACGTAAACCAATTGTAAATTTATTTTATAAACGTTACGGGAAATCGACAGAACTCGTTTGTTTGTTTTCATTACCTTGTAGGTACGATGTTAATTTGCACATCGTTTCGCCGTACAACCACAAACCGCTGACGGACTGGCCGACGGCCATTGGCATACAAATGAACGTCACCAAGAGATCGGCGACAGACAGGTTCACCAAGAAGTAGTTGGTCACACTGTAAATATAACAATAATAAACGTTAACGCATTTTTGTGTAGTTAATAATTATTATATCATGTAAACATTTCCAAGTTTGTGTTTCATTTTTTTTTCATAAACGCTTATAAATTTATTATTATTATTATTATTATATTATTTTTTTTTTTGAGAAATATTTTATTACTATCGGACTATACTGTAATTCCAATCAATTCTGCGTATGCTCTATGTATTATATGTCTTTACCAGAAGCAGCTCTACGTACGAGATAAGGATGAACGGAGAAATTTAATTTATTTTGTAGAATTTCAGTTTTTATGTTTTTAAAATAAAACATGCAACACGTAGGTTTTCTAAAGTATGGAAATCAAAATCGTCCGTAGAGAAAATGCACAAAAAATAGGAATTTTACGGACTGTTGCAAAAACATTGAATAGCATTAGATACACGTAAATCTTTGTTCTAGAGTCGTTTACAAAAAAGTTTATTGATAATAACTACAAATAACGAGCAGTGGCGATATTGGATTCGGAGAAGGAAGGCCAAGATCCCAAGTTCAAATATTTGTGCTAACACTCACATCAAACATATCAATGCGTAGAATTTAACATTTATTGCGTAGTTGATTAAAAAAAAAAAAAACAATTGCTGAACATACGAATTTGTTTTAAATTGTTATTTTAACCGTATTGCTATGTAATTAAAATTACGTAACTGATTTATAGCGAAAGTTTGTTATGACTAGGGCTAGGATTTTGTAGCATTTGCATTTTCTTTCATAGTACTCCAGGACATAGCTAATCAAAAACAAAATTCGATTCATTCATCACTGAGTTCAAATATGCAATTTTGTTTTTGCTTTTTTTGCTTTTTCTTGTGATATTCGTAAATAAATGCTTTATTGGTAATTTTTTGTCAGTTTATTAGCTTTTTAATTGGTTTTTGTTAATTATACGCATATTTAAAATTTACGTACATATTTATCTAAATTATTATTTTAATTGTATAATAATATATATATTGTGAATTCGTAGTGAAATATTATCGCCTTATCGGAAAATATTTCTGAAAATAGATTCTTAGATTTTGTGATTACTGATTACCGAGTGGGAAGTAGTTGTTACGTAATACGACGTCTGTAATATCGTCGTAATATTATGTCTGGACTTCAGACGCAATGAGAACGATATTTATTGACTTGTTTACCATGTCTAAATTTACAATAATATTATTTAGCATTTCCTAATTATAGGAATTTCTATGGGGGTTTATATTCGAGTACTAGCGTACGGAGTATTGTCGCGACTCGCGGAACCTCGATATCAGTAATCGACAATACATTATGCCGACAAGTCGTTAATCGTTTTTTCCTGTAATCGCGTGTGGTGTTATAGTGTTATACCTACCTAGTTTGTGTTCAAATTGATTTAAAACTTAAAATGCCTAAACCTAAATAATCGTTGGCTTGTCGTTTACATGCATATGTGCGCGAATTCGGTGACAACATTTTTACCACTGATGGGACAATACTTTACTGCAAAATCGGTGACATAAAAGTGTCAGATGAAAAAAAATTTAATGTTTCTCAACATGTTACACGTGATAAACATATGATGGGTATAGAAAAAAGAAATCAACAAGAAATATCTACTACTCAGACTTTATTAAACGGCCCATCGACAGCATCAACATTTAAATACGATCTATGCAAGGCCCTATTATGTTCAAATATACCACTTTACAAACTATCTCAACCGTCATTTCGAAAATTTCTTGAGAAATATACAAATAAAATCATACCAGATCAATCAACAATGCGTAAGAAATATGTTACAGAATGCTACACAGAAACAATTAATAATATAAGAGCATATGCATTTGAAAAGAAAATATAGGTATCGATCGACGAGACGACAGATGTAGCTGGTCGTTATGTAGCAAACGTAATAATAGGCACTTTAAAAATTGATAGCCTAGGTAAAATATTTCTTTTGAATTCGGAAGTGTTAGATAAAGCTAACTACGCGACAATAAGTCGATTATTTGATAAGTCGCTTTTAATTTTATGGCCTGAAGGGATTAGGCATGAGAATATTTTGTTATTTTTATCGGATGCCGTACCATATATGGTAAAGACTGGTAAAACTATTAAAATATTTAATCCTAAAACGGAACACGTTACTTGTGTAGCTCATGCATTGCATCGAGTATGCGAGGAAATTAGATTACAGTTTCCAAAAGTTGACAAGCTGATTTCAAATATGAAAAAAAAAAATTTTAAAAGCTCCTTCTCAAGTACAAATTTTTCAAAATATTGCACCAAATATTCCTTTACCTCCAGAGCCCATACTCACAAAGTGGGGAACATGGATCAATGCTGTGATTTATTATTGTGAACATTTTTCTTTAATTAAACGTGTCATTATGGAATTGGATGAAGATGATGCTATTTCAATAAAAAAAGTTCATGATTTGATAAAAGAACCTAATCTGGAATGTAACTTGACATACATAAAATCAAATTTTAGTGCATTAACAAGTGCTATTTTGTGTCTTGAAAAAACCAGTTGTCCTCTATCCAAGTCAATTAAAATTGTATTGGATGTCCAAAATACAATTGATAAAGCGCAAAACAAAATTGGTAAGGCTGTACAGTTAAAGTTGAAGACAGTTTTAGAAAAAAATACTGGATTTAAGTCAATATGTACAGTCTCAAAAATTTTGAACGGCGAAGAAGTGTCAAAATTGGAACTGCCAGAAGATTTAAATCTCGATGATATGACATATTTGAGATTTGCTCCGATAATATCCGTGGACGTGGAGAGATCATTTTCTTCATACAAAACTGCTCACTTATAATCGCAGATCATTTATATTTGAAAATTTGAAAGAGTCCCTAATAGTACAATGCAACAATAGAAATGTAATTGAATAGTATGTATCTATTAACATTAAATAATATTTTAAAAATTTGAAGTTTTTTATAAAAAATTTTTTAATTCATTTTTGTTTTAGAATGAAGGTGTTGAATACAGAATTGTTTTCAAAATATTACAAAATATCAAAGAAATTTAAAATATCTTATAGTCTTTTTTAATATTTATATAATAAACAGGTATTTAAAATATAAAAAAACAGTTTTTAATTTATTTTTTTCAATATTTATAAATTGTACTTAGTTGTTCTAAGAATTAATTGGTGTGAACGTATAAAAATGTGTTTAATTAATTATTTTTGATATTAAAAATATATTTCAGCTAATACAAGGGTGCCCAATTTATTTTGGAAGCGGGCTATAATTACAATTACATTTAGCTGGTGGGCCATGTTATGAACAAGACTTTCTTACACTTATAATTCATCTAAAATTCTATTTTCAATAGATACTTAATTAGATAGAACAAATAGGTATTTAAATTAAACAACATTTTAAATTTCACATGTTTTAATTTTTAATAATATTTAAAAAAAAACATCAGTGAGACCTATGAAGAGACTTATTAGCTAATAATTTTTCAATATCTGGTGATAAATCTGATGTTGATAACAACATCAAATCTGAAATATGAGGCGCAGTTAACGAACTACGATATTTATTTTTGACATAGGTTAGAGTAAAAAAAGCTTTTTCGCAAATATATGTTTATCCAAATCTGCTTGAAATCTGCAAGGCAAGATCACACGTTGCAGGAAAGTCTTCTTTTGGTACTAATTTACAAAATTTTAATAAATTTTCTGAAGACTGCAGTTGTGGTTGTGATGATACAATTTCGGTAAATATCTGCTTCAAGGAAACGTGGTTTTGAATTTCTGTGATTTCCAACTGGATATTGCATGAATATTTTTGTATTTCACTAAAAGTGATTGAAAATGGGTTCATGAAAAACAAAATATTATTTTTGTCCTTCTCAAAATCCTGAAATCTGTTCTCAAAAGACTGCAACAATAATTGAATTTGTGTTTGATATTTCGAGATGTCAGGTGAAGTATTTTCTAGTTTTCCTCTTATATCTACAAGCGTAGGAAAATGATCGATATTATTTCTAGTCAAATTTGTCAAAAAAAGGGAGAGTTTCGCTTTAAATCCATAAACCAAATTGAACATTATTGGTAACGAACAGTCCTTCCCTTGCAGCTTCCGGTTAAGTATGTTGAGGTGCTGTGTAATATCTATTAAAAACACAAGATCGCATAACCATGATTCATTTTCAAGTAAATCTCGCTCATCAGGCATTGCCTGCTTTTCTACTCAAAATTGCAAGACCTCTCTCCGCAAAAGAAAAAAATGTTTCAGCATTTCACCCTTAGATAACCAGCGGACAGCACAATACAAATGCAACTCACCGAATTCATTGATTTCTTCTTCAAATAAAACCCTGAATTGTCTTCGATGAAGAGCTTTAGCCGGATATAATTAATACGTACTACAGGATCAATAACATCATTAAACTTCATATCTTTGGCACATAAAGCTTCCTGATGGATGATACAATGATATGAAAATAATTCCCGGCCTAAGAACTGTTTTAACCAGGCCACACAACCATTTATTTTTCCCGTCATAGCGGGTGCTCCATCAGTACAAACAGAATTAATTTTTTCCCACGCTATACCTTTTCTGTCGACACATTCCTTGATTTTCATAAATATGTCTCTTCCGGTACTTGTAGTTTCCAACTGGCTGAGCTCTAATAAATCTTGAAATACATTAAAATTTTCATCAACACACCTCACGAAGATGGCTAGCTGTGACATACTCGTCAAATCACAAGTTTCATCCAACGCCAATGAAAAATACTTACATTTCGTTACGGTTTGTGTTATTTGGTTGCTAATATCGTTTGACATCTCCTCTACTCATCTTGTTACAGTATTTCTCGAAAGTGAAATACCGTCTGCTTTAGTTTTTATATTTTTATCATTACAGTTATTAGAAAAAATTGATAAAGCCTCTTTAATAATTTCCCCATCAGAAAAAGGCTTTTTATTTTTGGCGAAAAGTAAAGATATCTCATATGATGTTTTTACCATAGATTCGAGTTCATCATATTTTTTTACAAACAGATTCTGCTGACCAAATATTTCTTTTTTTTTCTTCTTTATAAACTCAGCTCTTAGAGAACTTCCTTCCGGGTAGTTTTTATTAATACTTGAATGATTTTGTTTAAAATGCCGTTCTAAATTATATTTTATGGCGACGGCAATCGTAGTGGAGCAAATAAGACATATGGGTTTCAATGCTTTGCTTTCAGTAAAGCAATATTGCATCTCCTATTCTTCGTGAAATGTCCGAGAACGTTCTTTCAATTTCGACGTAATTGTTTGCTAAGAACCATTCTGGCTTAAAATTAACAAGTAAAAACACAGAATAAACGCAATTATTACAAAATAATTTAATATTTATTAAGTTGTACGTATTATTTTTACGACCGTAGCAAAAGGCGGGTGCGGAGCGACTGATTTTGGTCGCTGTTTGTACAATATTTCGAATAACAATTTATTATCTTAACTCGCCGATATACGACGACTACGTCGACGGACAATCAAGATAATCTATAAACATAAAAATAATACCGATTAACATCGCGACAAATGCGGGTTCGAGTAAAACGCATCCGGTCATCACAGGAAAACCCGATAACATTGCTGTGTGGAATGGTCCTAGTGCTAATTTGATATACACACGTATATAAAATAAAATATACAACAAAATTTAAACTTAAAAGAAATATTAATAATAATTTAAAATGTCATAGACTATAGAGTATAGATTTTGGCGGGCAAATCCAAAAGCGTTGACGGGCCTAGGTTTGGGCACCCTTGAGCTAATATAATGCCTCATTCCATTTTGTAAACAAGAATACAATGACAACTATTCTCCAATAAAATTGCAAAAGTAAAAAATAAAAATTAATAGAGGTCCGTTACCCCAGTACCCCCAAACTTTATATACTACTCCAAAATTATCCTATCAATTGTTATTTCATTTGTACAGATTTGTAATCGTCATTTGAACATTTGTACACCTCCCAAAACTCGAGAAAATCAACTTTTCCGTTGCGGTATAATTTGTATAGACCTGAGTAATTCCAGTAATGAATGCCAGGTTAGTATATTTTTCTGAACTTTTATAAATTTTAAGTAAAGCAATAAAAGTATAGATTCTACAAATATGTTTGTTTTATTTTAAGGGTTTGTCAGTGTACACGATTCATAGTAGAAATATTTCTATGATTTTTAATGTTTAAAAATGGTTTCTGATAACAATGTAAATCTAGTTAGTTTTATTAGGAGGGGAAAATGTAAAATTAAAAGTATTTTTAAGATTGTTAAGAAAAAAAAATAGGGAAAGAGATAAGTGCATGAAGTAGCCACTTTTTGTTATTCATTTTCATTTTTAACTTTATTAAAAAAAAAATTTGGATAAATTAAATTTATGTTTGAACATTGAATTGTATAAATTAAAAATTCTACATCGAAAGTTCACTATATGTATCCGACAACCGTAATAATATGCGGTATTGTATGGCGAGGAGCGCGGGTATAGCGTTAAATGAATATGAATACGAAAGACCGTATAGTAGTTCCAATGAAGAATAGCAAAAGCGTATAAAAATAAAAACCATCCAACAAGAATACGGCCGGTGACTTTAAATTTGAAATCCATAATATCCAGTATTATATGTACAGTATTCGAAAAACGGTTCGGGCCAAAAATATTGGCTTAATCATCGTAAACAATATATACACATCTTTTAATTGTAATTCGATAATCTTGAATTAAATAATACAATTCAAATTTTAAATTATATAAAATTATTGTTTTTTTATCTTGAAAAATAATCATTTTGAAAAATTCAGCAACCATTGTTCTCGTCTAAAGAAGTAATATAATATTCTCTGCTGTTTGTTTCAGTTTATTCTCAGAATTAAATGAGTTAGTGGGAAAGTCGATACTTTGAGATAATAACATCAAATTGATTTAAAAAAAGATTTAAAATGATTGAGAAAAGCAATGTCTGACGTTTAAAAACAGGATGTATGTGTATATTGTAATGTTCTACAAAATCTTAAGAAAATTGAGAAAAATACATATTTTAATTTAGTTATACGAAATCAAATTTACATAAATTATGCTGATTTAAAACATGCTGTATAATAAATGATACATTTTATAATCAACTGTTAATCCATATAGCCGTTATTTATTTATTTATTTATAAAATCAACGGGCCAACGCCCTTTAACAAAGAAAACATTATATATGAATTGGCACAATATGAAAACAAGTGATAATAATAAAAGTAAAAATAGTAAGAAATACAAAGATAAAATATTAGTATAAAAACAAAACTATAAAATTATAAAATAATATTTAGGCACTATGATTTAAAAATAACAAAGTTTTAGCTTTAAATACTTGACGAGACAAAAAGAAAAAATCCAAGAATGTGGAGATTCTATTGGCGTTAATAATGGCTCTTGAAAAAAATGAATTTTTTCCACTATTTGTATTAAAATTTGGTGTAAGGAACAAATCAGTATTACGTGTAAACCTACTAGGGATTCTAAATCCAATTAAATTTAAAATAGCTGGACAGTTTATATTATTATTTAAAATATCATAGACAAACATTATATCAATTAAATCACGCCTGATGTTAAGAGAGTCAATACCTATTGAGTTTTGAACCAAAAGGAAAGAGTCCCTAGATATAGTACAATGAGTAATAAAGGAAATTCTTTTCAGAAATTTATATTGAATATTATTAAGCTCGTTTGAGTAAGTAGAATAATTATTAGACCAAATTAGAGAACCAAATTCTAGGTTTGATCTAACTAAAGAAGTATACAAATTTTTTAAACATATGGGATTTTTAAAGTCCTTTGTGTTTCTAGTAATAAACCCCAACATTTTATACGCATTATTTATGATTTTTTTATGATTTATTTTGAAAGACAGATCTGATTCAAAACATCTTTCAAGAGGATGGTTATCAATAAGATAATGATGAAAAACCGGACTTTTACTACGTGAAAAAGTTATAATTTTACATTTATCATAGTTTAAGGATAGATAGTTTTTTTTACTCCATAACACAAGTTTATTTAAATTGGACTGCAGTAAATTTTGGTCAGCAACATTTTTGATTTTACAGTAAATTTTAACATCATCAGCAAACATCAAAATGTTTACTGAACTATCTAAAATAAGAGGAAGATCATTAATAAAAATAAGGAAAAGAAGTGGTCCCAGATGAGATCCTTGTGGAACTCCCGAGGTAACTGTATATTCATTGGAATAATGAAAAGAAATTTTAACTACTTGAGTTCTATTACAAAGATTATCCAAAATTGTTTTTAAAACTTAAGCACTTCGGAGCTTGAGGTGTATTATTACATCATTAATCATCAATTAATATTAACTAATTTATAAATAAATACAATTTAACGCTTTGCTACTAAAAATTAGTCAATTATTTATAATTTTCATTCACAATATTAAAAAAAAATTTTTTTGTTTGCAAATTCAATAATTTTAAAATATATTTATATATTTACTAAAAAAAAGTTATTTTTATTATATTTATTATTCATTAAAAATAATATTAATTAGATTCAAAGTGATCTTATATCTTAAATGTTTAATTTATTTTTTCAATATCTATTTAAAATATAATTAAAAATACTTTTAGATAGTAAACAAAAGAAGCACTTTTGTCAACTAAGAATAATACTGGAAGACTTACTTTATATTCCCGATGGAAACTGAAAAATGTAAATTTATAACATAAATAATATAGTATTTATCATAATTAAACCGGTGGATATATTTTCTCTCATGTTTTTAAATTTTGACGCCAAAATCATGAATTTTATATAGTAAAATCTTAAAAATGATATTTCATTATAACTATCAAAGAACAAGCACGGGTAAGTAAAGCTAACAAGGATAATTTTATCCATGAGTGTATAATAATAACTTAAAACTGACATTAGTTCTGTATTTTGAACTTTTGAAACAACTTAGTTTAATATTTTAATATTTATGAAAATAATTTTTGTTATAAATAATATAACTCGTGTATATTTAACTTTTGTTTTCGATCCCTTTCTATGTTTAAAAGTTTAATTAATTTACATAGATATTCCTGAAGGTTATACACACATATATATAGACACAAATACACTATTGCATAAGTTTTTTTTATACTTTCTAGTCGTCCTGTGTAATTTTTCAAGTTCTACAACATAGTGTTTATTTTGATTAATAAAAATAATATTTTTGATGTGTTTACGTTAATAGCGGATTTGTTCGATCCCACGTTCAATTGATAATAATATTATCTGTGTTATTATTAGAATATACGTTTATTAATCAGCAGTAATTCAATATATTTATTTTGAATTTACATTTAATCCACTATAAATTATAATAACAATTGTAACATTGTTGTCATTATTAATTACTCGATCAAAATATGTTGAGCAACCGGTGCTTAATTGTAGCCGTCCGGTCGTTAAAATACAGTTATTTACCTGTAATTTGTTTATTTTTTGCTATTATTATGAAAATATACTTGTCTATATATTTACGTATATATATGTATCAAGGTAAGAGTGTGCATACATGACATGTATATTATAACAGTGGAGGCGGGAAGTGTTTCTTACTCGAATCACGGATTTCGTAGTATCACCCATCAAAATCATTTAAGGTACGGTTTCTCTTGCGCGATCGCGAACGCGATCGATGAACTAAGATCGCGTTTGCATCGTCTTGGTTTATTCTGTA